TACAAACTCACTGTTCTTCAGGATCTCCAAAGCAAGCTGCAAAATTGGATTACTGACATTTCATGAGCCCCTTAGTTTCTCCCCAGTGCTTCCATTTTCCTTTTATGTGCCACTCAGTTTATTAAGATGGACAGTCTGGATCCTTTGTTATGTCACTATTTTTTTATTACTTAGATAAGAAGGAGGATTAAATGGAGGACCACTCCGTTAATACTCCTGTTCCTCACTACAGACATACACTGTGCCACAGAACTCGCTCAGTGGTACCTTTGTGAGTGGCATTCAGAAAGAGCAACAGTTTCAGAAGTAGGTATAGAGCTGTCAGCTTCTGCGTTGTTCTCCAAGACCTCCCCTTTCCTTCCTATTACCACGTCTCATTTCAATTCCCAGGGCGCTGTGTTGGTGCCAAACATGATTCAGAGAAACTGCTTGCTGGGATATTGTTTAAACATGATGCACTTTATTTTCACTGCATAAATGCTTGGTTTCCTCATGATGTATTTGGTTAGCTAATGCATTGTTCTGTATCTTGCTGTATTCTTCTCTCTTTGAACCTAGGGAGCTCAGCACTTCCTGTCCAGCTGGGCAAAGCACTAAGTAATATCCTTCCCGAATTAAATATGCTTGTAACCACCTGCAGTCTGCTTGAGCAGATCCCCCACGACAGATAGGGCAGCACATCAGGCTGCACACTGACAAGGAGACATCACAGCAAGATGTCGAAGGATCCTAACAAAGCCAAATTCTGAGTTTAGGACTTTATTTTGCAGATTGCCCCTCGTGTAGGCATCATATTGTCCTTCTTCAGTGGGTAGTGAGATAAGGAGACAATGGGAAAAGGAGAGAATGAAGAACAGGGACAAAGAACAAGGTAAGAGGAGAATGGGAATTATTCCTACAAATGTGGAAAAGATATTTTCACGGGGGGGTGGGGGGCAAGAATCAGCAGAGACTGATTTAACTTGCTTTTGCTTACTTTGTAGATTAAGTTAGGAGGTAAAACACCACCTCTGTAGGTGGACCTGTCCTCCTTCAGGTCCTCCACTGTGCTGGACTCACTCAGTCTCATTTGAGTCACACAAACTCCTAGATGCCACCTGTCTCTATCACACTAACACGACCTTTGTATTTAAACTGCTGAGCAGAACTGTAGCAGCAGCTGCCTACACCAATACTAACGGTTTTCCTCCGGCCCACAACTCTCAGCTACTCCACCTGCTTAGGGTCTCTGACGTTTTAATTCAACCTTTTCTACTGTGCACATGTATATGCCCAGTAATCTGATACTTCCAGACTCACCAGCTCTACAGCACTGTGAAGACCACTACCACCACACAAAACACGTACAATAAGCCCTGGAAGCTCCAGACTTCTTACCCATGACAGTTCAATACAGACTGGAGGCCATGGCTCTGACAAGGCTGGCACACACCTGGAAATCTTGATCACGATCCTGTGAAACCCTACTGGATGCCCTTTGCTTATCAGGTACCTTCCAGACCTCTGAAAATCTTAAGACAAACACATAACATGATCAAATTCCACCAGGACTAAATCTCTAGGTGGACATGTCCACAAAAATCAGGACTTGGCACATCTTTTGCCAATCCTGGAAGCTCCGCGTTGCATGCTGCCCATCTCTAGCATCCTGCTTCTGCCTTTTCTCACTGTGCATTTACCGAGGTCTAAAGGAATTCTACATGAAGCAATCCCACAACTTATCTGCACTCTTGATACCTTCAGATCCTTCTACCACTATTTCTTTCTCCAAAACATTATAGGGTTATCACACATGTTCAGGTTGAGCTGCACATGCACAGAAGCCACTTGTCTAACAGTCAATTTATTTTTTAATCCCTAGAATAGCAACTATTTCCTGCAATCTTCTTTCACTCCTTTCCTCTCTTCACTCCTTTCCTCTCGTCACTCTGAAATAAAAGACAAACCTGGGAAGAGGGATCAGCAGCTTGCACACTATCACTCAGAAGCCCAGTACAGACAGCCTTGGTGCAGAACACACAGTACTGTTTAGAGAGGAAAGGACTCCTCTGTCAGACCAACAGCCATTTTGTGGTTGCCCCTACCAGTTCAGACAACTTAAACTGGGGTGGTATCTGTGTTGCAAACCTGGCAAGGGTGTACACAATAAAAGAACAACAAATGCAAAAATGTACAAATGAAAACTGGTTAACAAGAGGAGCTACATCAGAGTTCACAGCAGTTCCTGGCGGGCAATCATATGCCACTAGAAGGCCAGGAGACCTGCTGCTCTCATACAGTGACATCATTCCACCTGCCCCTCTTCACCATTTAGATCACTACCTTGTCAACATAAACATTAAAGCACAAGGACTGTTCGTGTTCATCCCAATCTCCTGCTGAGCTGAGCTAAAATTCCTGTACCTGGAGTGTGTGATCATGTACTCCATATACCTGAATGAAATCCTGACTAATGATCGATTGTTACTTGCTATGGAGACCCGGGCACATGCAAGTATATACAAGCAGCAGTGGAAAACATCTCCATCAGAATGAGCCCAACAGCCTGGGGTACAGCAAGCATGGAACTGCCAGCTTCTGCTGCAAAATCCTTTGTGGGCCCAGGCCAGATTTTTAAAAGAGAAAACAAAATGCTTTGTTGGCTTTTGACACAGATCATTACTTCAGCGCTCAGGCAGCCATTCGGCATTATTCAGCATGTTGGGAGGATAGTGCCTGATGCTGGCAGGGGCCTCTGTCAGATATGAGTTGATCACATGCTGCTGGTTCATTGTTAGCTTGGCAGGAAGGGAGTACAGTGAACTGGACTATTGTTGAAGACACTCTAATTGATTTTGCTCTGGTTTTACTGGTGGTACGCCAAACCGTAAAGCTCCAGTTCAGGTATTTCCATAGGTCAGGTGAATTAACAGAGGGTTTGTGTAGTCCATGAAAGAGAAAGAGAGTGAAAGGAGAAACCTGAATACAGAAACGTACTTCATAAAGCTGCCTATGTCTATGGCTTTTCTTCCCAGGCTTCCTTCTACATGTTGTAACTTAAAATTCCTGGGAAAGAGACTCTTTTTAACATCACTGCCATGGAGCATACAGGAGAACAACAGGGACAGCACTGAAAGTTTGAAGTCAGTTAAAGGATTAAAGGGTTAACTCCATAAGGCTTCTTACTCCCCATCTCAACAGCAACAACCCAGACTTGTTTGTTTTATACCACCCAAACAATGTTTATCTTGTCTCTGTCTGTTCCTGGCATTGTTCCTTCCTTATGTTAACACAATATACCAAACTAAGTTGCAACTTAACCTTGTCTTGGCAGGAGGAAATGTTTTTGTGGACAGTGCAGACTTGGAAACCAAAAGGGCAACAGAGTTCTCGTGGTAAGCTTTCATTCAGACTTCCTGAGCAAGCAGATCACTTAACTTCCACATGCCGTTTCTCCTTTAGTGCAAAGGGACCAATAATGCTTCTGTACTTTGTAAGGAGGCTACGGAATTCAATTCTGGTAAGGTGCATTTTTAAGCTTAGATGGAAAGTACTACAGAAGTCCAAAGTGAAACAGTAAAGGCTAAAACAACGCTCTGCAAGAACCCTGCAAAACCAGAAGTTCCCCACATGCTCTCAGACCATTCCTCATTATGTTGGAAAATAACCCAGTAACTGGTCATATACAACAATGTTTTCCGTATTACAGTTATCTTCCTCCACTGTTTACTATACTGCAAGGATCTGCCAAAAAAGTTGAATTACACAGCCTATAAACAAGCTCAAGCATTTAATGAGAACTCAAGTGAAGAATAGTCTGGTTGGTGGCTGAGTTTTTTTTTTTCCCCTCTCCATTTGCTGCAGAATTTCCATGCATTTTGTTGCGTTTCTCTGGAGTTCATACATACAGAAAACAAATGTACTTTATCTGAATACTATAGGAAACCTTCAGTAGTTTGCTAATTGGAGGAATGATTAACAGAAGAATGACTGTTTCAGTTAACGGGATCTTTTAGCTGACTTACAGATCATTGCAATCGCATTGTTAAGCTATTAGGATTTCTCAGTACTAACCATCACGTTGGAATAGGGAGATTAAATGGGTTTTGACCATTCACTTGGTAATCAAACACCTGTTGGATAGTTTTGTTTTTTAAAGTGACATCCACATACCAAAGATGAAATTATCAGGCCGAAACAGCTGACCAAAAGGACCAGATCGCACACTATCCATGGTTCCCGGCTCCAAGTCCACCAAGACTGCTCTTGGTACAAATTTCTGGGCTACAATAAAATATAAGCACACCCTTAATGCTCTGAAATAAGCTAACACAGTTATAGCAAATACATTATGTCTCATATTATTAGTCTAATACAGATCGTACAGATATAAATATTTCTGATAGAGGAAGTCATGGTGGTGAAAAAACCCAGCACCACAGGAACAAATCAATTCTGCCTGAAAAATAGACCTGGCACCTTTTGAGTCATACAGACGGTATATTACATTTTGTAAGCGCTTTTTGCAATAGGTAAGAAGGATGCAAGTTTATGATTAGAAAAAATGGTTTAAATGTTCTTTATAAGAAATTAGGTCTTTTCTGTGAATAATGAGGCAAGTGAAGTGTTTATGTTCAAATGGTCCTAACACATTTCACAAGCTTTTATGCTTCAAGGATTCACCACCACTGAAAGAGCTACTTGGTGTAGGTGGCAAACAGTAATAGATTAACACATCTGCCACAAAGCACAAAATAAAAAATCTGTATCCAGATGAAATTATTCAAGAAAACTCAAAAAAATAGTATGAATTAACCTGAGCTGGAAAAAAGATGAAACATTCACACTTCATGTCAATGGACCAAAGGGCTCACGATCCCCATTTTACACTGCTGACACCCTTCAACATCAGACTGACTCGGAGGATTTGGGCACCTTTGGCCCAAATTAATAAATCACCTTTGAGTTCTCCATTATCTGTGGCACAACCCTCTCAGTCACAAAACCAGGGGCAGAGTACTACAGATGCAGGCTCATACAACCCAGTTTGCTTTGGGGCAATTGATAAGACACATCTGATGAAATAATCATATGGTAAAAGTGCAAACGCCTCGTATAGTGTTAAGTAATAAACAAACCTCCACCTCCAGACCCTAAGGACAGCCCCTTATGCAGTTTCTCTCTGCTGGGGAGAAAACACCCAGTTATCAGTTTATAAGAAAATACAAAGTTTATAGAAAATAGGCGCATGTCCAGAGAAGGGCAACAAAGCTGGTGAAGGTCCTGGAGAACAGGTTTTACAAGGAGCAGCTGAGGGAACCGGGATTGTTTAGTCTGGAGGAGGCTGAGGGGAGACCTTATCGCTCTCTACAACTACCTGAAAGGAGGTTGTAGCCAGGTGGGGGTCGGTCTGTTCTCCCAAGTAACAAGTGATAGGACAAGAGGAAATGGCCTCAAGTTGTGCCAGGGGAGGCTCAGAGACATTAGGAAAGACTTCTTTACTGAAGGAGTGGTCAAACATCGGGACAGGCTGCCCAGGGAAGCAGTGGAGTCACCATCCCCGGAGGCGTTCAAAAAACGTGTTGGTGTAGCACTCGGGGACATGGTTTAGTGGGCAGGATGGTGGTGGGTTGATGGTTGGACTTGATGATCGGTCTTTTCCAACCTAAATGATTCTACAATTTCTCATCACTTATGCATAGAAAATAATTTCTTGCCCTTCTTTGATCTTAACCTTCTCCTCCACTACATTGCTTTTGAAGGCCAAGGGTCTACCCAAACTGCAAGTGAGACCTCCCAGGTGGAAGATATACAGGATGGAAACAACAGTCCAGGCCACTGTAGCCTTGTCAGATGGCTTGCCCAGAAATGGTTACCACAGCTCTATGTCCTCAGGTGGACTGAAGGGCTGTGGTGATGCACCGGGACACCAGGTTAAGCATACACCTTCCCACCACCCTTACTCACTGCCTGCTCTTTCAAGGGAAGAAATTCTTAAAACAAGTCTCCTTTAATGTTAATGGACTAGGTATCTTGTTCCAACTCTCAAATGCCTGGTCCTTCAGAAGACTTGGCTTTATCCACTGAAATTAATGGACAAGGTCAAGAAAGAAGCGCATTTATACTGTACAGTGGAGAAAAGTAAAACCAGGTGTCCTGCTGCCAAGATAAGATGTACTTGTGCAATGCTGAACCACAGCATCGGTACCTTCACTTAGAAAGACTTAGCCAATTAAGTTGATAGCACGGCACACACGGGCACTTCCTGAGCATGCAGGAAAATAAACAGGCGGTTCTTATTCCAGCAAAGAAACTGGCTCTTCTCCCAGCTTGTTACCAGCTTTCTCTGCCTCATCATCCCACATGCAACATCGCCTGCCATGGAGGTGGGTTACAGCTACTGAGCAGCAGCCTGCTCCTATGCAAACAAGCTAAAATCCTTTCTTGGTCTGTGCCATATCGCAAAGGTGTGAAAACAAAATCCCTACCTTGAGCTCAGAAAGACCCAGGGAGAAGTTCAAGGTATTTCAACTCACTTCAAGCCACTGCCAGCTGCTGTTTCAATCACTTTGTTTCTATAATCTGGGCAGCACACCAAAGATCACAAGGTTTGGGTTTAAGTTTCATTTAAAAACCATCTCGTAGGAGAAGAATCATTCCTCCATTTTATGAAGCAAAAGCCATAGGCTGCTGACAATGCTATTACAGGCGGCAACATCAATGGAATATTGTATATATACTCACACACACATATATATAAAATATATATATAAAAAAGAAAAACATTGAGCTGGAAGGTTACTAACAAAAATAGAAAGGAAGACTCCTGAGACATTCTCTTTATAATTCCTTTTTACACAAGCCAACAGTTAAAGCCTCCTGGCTGAGATTCCCCAGGTAACCTACAAACCATTTTACAGCATCATTGCTCAAACCAATCTGAGTATCCAGTAGGGCAATTTATAAGGGAATGACACGCCTGTTATTGACGGAATTCTTCACAGAGCAAGGAGAAAACCTACAATGCAGATACATCAACTTTTATGAAAGTAACATCAGCTCAAATTGAGTTATAATGGGAAAGTGACCTGTTTTGATGCCAAAGGTCCTTGGCATTGCAGCTCAGAGGAAAAGCATCTGTGAAACACTGCAAGAGGGACCCAGTTTCACAAGGAGTAGCAGCCAAATGAGAGGGGAAAGAGAGCGAAAGAAAAAAAACATTATCAGACCAGCATCCAGCACCACGGCTTGACCAATAGCTCCCACGTACAGGGGATGCCGAGTCCCCTTCTTAAGATCAATTCTCCAGCCATGGGAATCCTTCATTTGATGTTTGCTTTCAGCTGACATCAGCCTTTTTTACTCAGTTTTGCCAGATTGCACTTTTGTCATTAGTTCTGCTTAGAGATACAGATGAGATGGCACTTCCATTTCATTCTTTTTTTTTCTTCTTTTTTTTTTTTGCTGAAGTGCCTCATGCTATAGCTCTAAGGATAATTACTTAGGGGGCTGAAATTTCCCATTCTTGTTCTTATCACAGAGGTACATATCTGAAGAAGATCTGCTTGGTCATTTAAGGTTTTTAAACATGTTCTCAGATAAGCAGAGCTGCGTTTTTAACAGTAGCTAAAATTACAGAATTTAAGAAAGGAAAATTTGATGTGATGCTTCATGCTTTAGTTAATGGTCTTCCAAGATACAAAGCTCCAGTTGCTCTGGAAACTGCAACTTGGACACAACCACGTAGATACATCAACCCCCTGGCTATAAACGAAAACACTTTAGCAACACTGCACATTCATGTGACAACCATTTTTAAAAACAAGCATTGCATCCTGATCTTCATACAGGAAGGGCACATCCCGCAGCCCGCCACACAGGGCACAGCGTCTGCATTTCCTTTAAGCCTCAAGAGAAATGACTGAGCAAGAGCCAGGAGAGCGTGTGGACCTACCATCAAGACAACGACCTTCCAGGTAAGGGAGAGATGGGAAACACAGGTGGGTATTTGAGGGATATGCCAGGGATTCAAAGCAGGGCTGTTTCTTCCCGTGTTTGCGCGGTGCCTGTCACACCGCAGGCACAGCTGGAAGCAAACGCTGGTACCAAAAGGAGGACTTGGAAGACAAATGAACACGGTAGACAGGCCAGGATCCTGACACAGAGCCTGCAGCCACTGGCCCAGGAGAAGGCAGCAGGAAGCCTGGAGCTGGGAACAGAACAAGATGACGGCCATCAGGAGAAGGGAAGTAGAGGGGGACACGCAAAAGCAGAGCAAGAAGACTGAGTGTGGGGTGTTCATGGAGGAGGACTGGACACAGCACAACACCAGAAGTCAGCTACAAATTTTTTTTTTTTCTTCCAAACTAATGATTCTAGATAATCTCTTCTGTGTGTAATGGGGTGAGCTGGGATCAGCTGGAGGCTGACAGGCACAGGAGGTGTGACCAGATGTGTCACACTGCACAAACCCGTTCTCTCCCAGATGTGTGCCCCTTCCCCCGGAGTCCCCTGTCCCGCACCCCTCCCCACCCGACACTTACAAGATGATTCATTATAGTAGACATTGATC